CTTCGCCTCAGAATCAGGTACTTACTATTTATTTACCTAGCTTTATCACTGTCGTGTAGGTCAACTCTCCATAAGGCCATTTGGGCCCCGTCCTTTGTTATCCGTCGAAACTAACAGCTGTATGGGCCCCTGTATGGTAGACCTTAGTCTGGGCAACTAGGTGCGTGTACATATGCACTGGCATTTTTCGGCATTCACTGTTATCTTATTAGTCATATAATAATTATACAATACGTCCAGTTCCGCCTGTATCGTTTAACAATCATTGATGTTATTTAATCTCAAAAATATCTTTTTATCGTCCACGTACATCAGATGTTTAGAACGCATGAGACAATTAGGCAAGTCGTAATTGTACGCATTGTATAAGAGAGGTATCAAGTGCGACCCTTGGGGGACGCCTGTGTAATCTGATCTGAATCCACCCACCACAACTGCCTGAGAACATTTACTTAGGTAAGATTCTGTCCATCTTAGAAGATCCCCGTATATGCCAAGTTTCCCTAGTATTTTTAAAAGTATGGAGTGATCTACCCGGTCAAACGCCTTCTCAAAGTCCGTGTATATCACATCCACCTGCCTATCATTTTCCATATTACTAATCACGTGTTCTGAGAAACAAGCCAGGTTAGTGACAGTCGGTCGCTTTTTAAGGAAACCGTGTTGATTCTCGGGTATTTGTTGGACTATTATGGGGTAAATATTGCTATAGATAATTTTTTCAAAAACCTTACTTAAAATATAAAGTATCGAGATACCTCTATAGTTTTCTACTTGGGTTCTAGAGCCTTTTTTATGAATGGGTACGATGAGAGCATTTTTCCATATATCAGAAAAGACACCTTCCTTAAAAGAACTTTTGAACATTTCACCCAGAATATTGGTGGGATTCCGTCGCAACCAGCACCTTTATTAATGTCTAAGAATTTTAGGACGATTTTCCACTAAACTTTGAGATATGGTGATATGAGATATTGAGTTTAAAAAGGTGATTGTAACCATCATGAGAAAAATCAGAAAAAAAATCTATCCCATGCAGTTTGGAAATTATGGGCATTTAAGAAAAACCTAGAAATTTGGTCAAACTGTAACCATTTTTCGGTTATTGTGGTTAATTTTTATTATTTTTGTTCATTTAAACTTTGAAATCGTAACCCTAAATAACATTACTAGAACCACAGTCAAAAATAATGACACAACTGCCCTAAGTTTTCTAGAATTAAGACTATTTGTTAAACTATGAATTTAAAATTTTCCTAATTTGTCGACTGAAAGGCCCTCCTATAAAAAAATTGTACTAAAGTGCCTTGGCAAGTGGCATTAAAAGTTTACGCATTTAATCAGGATTATAAATGGTACAATACTTGTTAGTTTCATACTAAAAAAAACTAGTAAGAAAATAAAAACCTCGAGTAACCCGATTTTTGCTAACCCATTTTACTCAGTTTAAATGTTTTTTATTGAAATGTTTTTTATTGATGTGAGAGATGGATAGTGGACATGTTTATCATGAGCGACCGAGACAAATAGTGAAGCCACTTTTACCAAAGTCAACAAAAGTAAGTAAAATTAATAAAATAATGAAAAATCTAGTTATGCATCCCGGTATTCCCGGAACTGCACCGGAGACCATGACAATTCATAAGCGTGGGCGTAGATTGCTGAATTGCGTCTGGAAGACGGGTGGTCTTTCGTGTGAATACTGATAACTACTATTTAGCTTAAAGATCTAGAATAAGAACTAGCATAGTCATAGTTAGGCTCTCACATGTATCGGACGTCATCGTTGGAGCCACACGCAAGTGTGAGTAACGATCCAAGAGCGAGTCTCATCCGACATTATTCCGAAGATATCCCGGACGTCAGTTTGAGCGAGATTAGAATGGCTCTCCAGCACCTTAAAAACGGTAAGGCCCCAGGCGAGGATGGAATTACAGCGGAGCTTCTGAAAGCGGGTGGAAGACCGGTACTTGAAGTCCTTCAGAAGCTCTTTAATTCCGTCCTCCATGGTGGCATTACACCGGAGGCGTGGAGCAGAAGTGCGGTGGTCTTGTTCTTCAAGAAAGGTGACAACGCTCTCTTGAAGAACTACAGACCGATTTCCCTTCTGAGCCGCGTCTACGTGCTGTTTTCGAGAGTCATTACGAATCGTCTCGCGCGCAGACTTGACGACTTCCAGCCTCCCGAACAAGCCGGTTTCCGAAAGGGCTTTAGCACCATAGACCACATACATACCCTTCGGCAAATTGTACAGAAGTCCGAAGAGTACAATTTGCCACTATGTCTGGCGTATGTGGACTATGAGAAAGCCTTTGATTCCGTCGAAATTTGGGCGGTGCTGCAGTCCCTTCAGCGGTGCCAAGTTGACTGCCGGTATATCGAAGTGTTGAAGTGCTTGTACAGTAGGGCTACGATGGCTATCCGAGTACAGAACCAGAGTACGAAACCTATCCAATTGCAGAGAGGTGTAAGACAGGGTGACGTCATATCCCCGAAACTCTTCACCGCTGCATTGGAAGACGTTTTCAAGCTTCTGGACTGGAAAGGATACGGTATCAACATCAATGGCGAGTACATCACTCACCTTCGATTTGCCGACGATATAGTCCTTATGGCAGAATCGCTGGAGGACCTAAGCACTATGCTCAATGACCTCGATAGTGTTTCCCAACGGATAGGTCTTAAGATGAACATGGACAAAACAAAGATCATGTTTAATGTCCATGTCACACCTATGCCGGTAGTTGTTGGGAACACTAAGCTCGAAGTTGTTGACGAGTATGTTTACCTGGGACAAATAGTCCGACTAGGTAAGTCCAACTTCGACCGAGAGGTCAATCGACGGATTCAACTCGGCTGGGCAGCGTTCGGGAAGCTACGACACATCTTCTCGTCAGACATACCTCAAAACCTGAAAACGAAATTGTACAACCAGTGCGTGTTGCCAGTAATGACTTATGGTACTGAGACGTGGTCCTTCACTGCTGGCCATATGAGGAAGCTCAAGGTCGCTCAGCGAGCTATGGAGAGGGCTATGCTCGGAGTTTCTCTGCGTGATAAACTTAGGAATGAGGATATCCGCAGTAGAACCAGAGTAACCGACATAGCCCAACGGATTAGTAAGCTGAAGTGGCAGTGGGCCGGACATATAGCTCGAAGAACCGACAACCGATGGGGAAGAAAGGTTCTCGAGTGGCAGCCTCGTACCGGTAGGCAAAGTGTAGGGCGTCCCCCCACGAGATGGAGTGACGACCTGGTAAGACATGCAGGAATTCGATGGATGCAGGTGGCTCAGGACCGTGCTTTGTGGCATTCTTTGGGGGAGGCCTATGTTCAGCAGTGGACTTGTGAAGGGCTGTAATGATGATGATGATGATGATGTATCGGACATGTAGCTTTAAGTTAGAATCCATCGCAGATTAATTAAGTAGTATATAAGTAATGTATCGCACATTAATAGTAATAAGTTTAAAATAAAGTCTTTTTAAAAACGTCCTGAGTAAATTTCGAATCTTGACTATCTTGACCTAGTTTAGTTTAGGTTTATTGGAATAAAAGTCAGATAGGGAAATAACATTTTTTATTACAATAAATGGTCAAATTGTTTACCATCAGCATCAATACACGCCCTACATCTTATTAAAAAAAGATCTAGTTATTAGTCGGGTATATCCTCGAGAGTTGATGTCCTCAGCAGCTTGAGAAATTCGTTCATGCAGCTCGGCTACGCTGTTAATGGGCTTTGAATAAAGTTTTTGTTTGAGAACGCCCCAATAAAAAAAAATCCAGGGGATTTGAATATGGGAAACGGGCTGGCCACGAGATAGTGCCTGAAGGTTCAATCCACCTTCCCGGATATTCCTGGTCAAGGAAATCTCGTACTTGCACAGCGTAATGCGCTGGGCAGCCATCTTGTTGATATCACATCTGGCGACGATCTGTTAGTGGTACGTCCTCTAACAAAGTTGGTAAATTTTCTCGTAGAAATGTAGGTAATTCGTGCCATTCAAGTTCTCCAGGCAGCTCAATTGTATTGTTGTACAAAATGAAATTCTTTCAGGATAGGTTAATCTCGAGGAAGAAGACTTTGAATTCGTTGTACGTGAAACGGATGCATTACGGCTCTTTGTATAATACGATGTGATGTGCTTTTAGGTATTCCCGTTCTTTCTTCAATTCCACGAACGGAAATACTTAGGTCATCTGCGACCTCTTGCAACACTTCTTCCTCATAAGGAAAGCGAGCTCTACCTCCAGCCCATATTTGATTCGGGAAATGGCCGCCCTCCGTGAGCAAACGGTGCACATTAATTCCAGACCTCTCATAATTTTGCCGTAAAATTAAGACCTACCAAGAGCTTGTGCGAATAAAATACATTTGAACTGAGTAAAATGGGTTAGCGAAAATCGGGTTACTCGAGGTTTTTATTTTTTTACTATTTTTTTTAGTTTGAAACTAACAAGTATTGTACCATTTTACAATCCTGATTAAATGCGCGAACTTTTAATGGCACTTGCCAAGGCACTTTAGTAATTTTTTTTAAATGAGGGCCTTTCAATGTCGACAAATTTTGAAAATTTTAGATTCATAGTTTAACAAATAGTCTTAATTCTAGAAAACTTGGGGCAGTTGTGTCATTATTTTTGAACGAAGTTCTAGAAATGTTATTTAGTGTTACGGTTCCAAAGTTTAAATGAACAAAAATAATTAAAATTAACCACAATAACCGAAAAATGGTTACAGTTTGACCAAATTTCTAGATTTTTTTTCTGATTTTTCTCATGATGGTTACAATCAATTCTGTCACCCGTTTCGGCTTGACGTTTAGTTCTGGGATAGTCTGTATAATAGATAGCAAGATGACCGCGCCTTATTCGCATCTATGACTATTGTGTCATTCACGTAGATGACATTTGATTTGACAATCGTCTCAATTTCAAACTCGGTTGTCACCATTGATATTTCTTATATCTATGGTTGTCACTTGCACTTGTCAGTTGAATGGATTGAATTGACCATATGGGACTCATAATTTCTATTTCTAAGCATATAAAATATTTCGCAAGCTGCTAGTGTCAATTGTAACTGTTTAATTGTAAAACAAATATATAAACTAAGTGATAAAATGGCATCAACAGTTCCACTTATTGTCAGATTATTAGCTTCGTCCGTGTCAGTTGCGAACAGAGCTGGGAAAATAATCAGAGATGTTATGAGTAAAGGAGAACTTGGTATTGTTGAAAAGGTTTGTTTGTTTAGAGTTGTAAATTATTTAATTCTTTATCGATATAAATGCGAAAAATTAGATAGAAAATATAATGATTATTACTGAGTTCAAATCATTATTTTACTTAATTTCAGGGAAAAGACGACCTTCAAACAGAGGCAGATAGATCTGCGCAGCGATGTATTATTGCATCACTGTCTGCACAGTTTCCTAAATTGAATATTATTGGTGAAGAAGATAATCCTGATACTGAAGTAAGACAACACGGGTCATTATCAATTAGATAAAATAATTTGATGTACTTATCTAAGTGTTTTGAATCTATTCCAAAGATTGTATTGCAGTAATATGGGCTAAACTACAAACCTGCAATCAATTTAAAGGTTTAAATTATTAATAGGGGTAGATCTTATTTTTTTTTGTGAAATGTATGACCTTTTAGAGCTAAAACATACTTATGGTATTTTAATTTTATAATTTAAAAAATTTGCAAAATGATTTCTTTTTTATAGAACTAAAGTGACAAATGAATGTACAGTCCACCCTGACGTTAAGTGAGCTTTAAGATCTCCTCCGAGGACTAAGGTGGTATGCCTCACAGTCGGTAACTAGCTCTCTATACCATTTGTTTCATTTATCCATTCTTTTTTAATTTTTTGTGTTAACAAATATGGCAACAAAATAAAACATAATAATGATGACTAATATCCTGTGCAATTGATAGCCCCTAACACTATTCTTAGAATACTTACTGTGGTTGAATCTGTTAGATGGACATTAATACACTCGTATGACTAGTTTACCATAAAATCACAGTATAAGAATTACACTATGATGTTATTGCATGCTTAAACAAGAAATCCAGTAGCTGAACATCAGGCACTCTAAGCCGAAAGCTTTGATAAAATATATACAGTATCTGGAATTCTATTGTTTGAAATTGGTTATAAATTCCCATTTTATTTTAAAGGATGAGATTCCCAGTGATTGGATTGTTATAGACACAGATAAGGATATATTGACTATACAGTGCCCTTCCAATCTTCAAGGTGTAAAGGAGGAGGATATTGTGGTGTGGGTGGACCCCCTAGATGGAACCTCTGAATATACCCAAGGTATTTTTTTTTAACAAACTTGTGACAGACCGAAGATTCGGTTTCGGTAATATTTTCGGTTTCGGCAAAAAATCTGTGCAGAAACTCAGTATTTGTGTATTATTGTGCGTCGTTCAGATGAGTTTGTGACTTGTGTGTTACTTGCTCGTAAAAAGTATTCTAATCTTTGTTGAGACATAATTACCTAGTCAGGTCATAAGTATTATCACACAGTAAAAACTTTTCTTTTAGAATGCTGGCCACAAAAAAGTTTATTGAATTTGAATTTCGAATTGTTCATGAAAATAAAACTGTATACGTTTTAGAATTTTACTCATTTTTAAATATGGAGTGGACGCTTAAAGAAGACCGTGTTGCAGTTATTGCGTTTGCATCGTTGCGGTTACGCGCCTATTAAAATTTTTGACATACTGAAAAATTTTAATATAACCAAAAGATTCGTTTATCGTACCATCATACGATACAATGAAGACTCTAGTGTAGATGACAGGTCAAGAAGTGGTCCCCCTCGGTCTGTTAGGACTCCAGCAGTGATAAAAGCTGTGAAGGCGCGAATTCAAAGAAATCCCAAACGTAAGCAGAAACTGTTGGCCCTTCAGATGGGGTTAAGCAGAACCACGGTGAAAAGGGTGTTAAATGAAGACTTAGGGTTTCGGGCATATCGAAGAAAAACAGGACATCGTTTGAATGCTCGTCTAATGGACCTGACACTGAAGAGATGCCACGCTTTGTTGAAGCGGTACGCGGGAAAAAATATCGGGAAAATCTTTTTTCGGATGAAAAAATTTTTACCGTAGAAGAGAGCTACAACAAACAAAATGATAAGGTGTACGCACACAGTAGTGAAGAAGCGAGCAACCGTATTCCGCCTGTCCAACGAGGTCATTTTCCATCCTCGTTCCAGCTCATGGTATGGTTGGGAGTTTCTTATAGGGCCTTAACAGAGGTACATTTTTGTGAGAAAGGTGTAAAAACGAATGCAGTTGTGTATCAAAATACAGTCCTGACGAACCTTGTGGAACCTGTTTCTCATACCATGTTCAATAACAGGCACTGGGTATTCCAATAAGATTCGGCGCCAGCTCATAGAGCGAAGAGCACACAAGACTGGCTGGCGGCGCATGAAATCGACTTCATCCGGCACGAAGACTTGCCCTCCTCCAGTCCAGATTTGAATATGTTAGATTACAAGATATGGTAAGACTTGGAGGAAAAGGCGTGCTCAAAGCCTCATCCCAATTTGGAGTCACTCAAGACATCCTTGATTAAGGCAGCCGCCGATATTGACATGGACCTCGTTCGTGCTGCGATAGACGACTGGCCGCGCAGATTGAAGGCCTGTATTCAAAATCACGGATGTCATTTTGAATAAACTTTAGTGTCATAAGAATCTATGTTTTGTTAAGTTCATTTTGGTATATAAATGGTTACATAATGAATAAACTTGTTTCAATTATTTTATATTAAACATGTCACAGAATTTATGACCTGACTAGGTATATTAAGTTAATGCTTAACAAGAGATCTCATTAAATAATATATTAGTTTATTATTTTACTTTATATTTATTAGTTTTAACAATATTGTGAACACAGTAAAATATGTTCTCAATTAGCAAGTAACTTTTATATTTTTGACAAAATTTACTTAAAAAAGTATTTCTTAATATTGAATTGTTGAAGTTTTACTTTAAAATAAATAAATATATTGCTCCATGACTACTACAAATACTGTTTTTCATTAAAATGAATTACCTATCTGTATATGTCTCAAAAATATACCAATTTCAGTATAAAAAAAATAACATGTCTAAATAAGTTTCGGTTTCGGCCGAAACTGATATCCAGACCGAAAAACAAAGAAATCAGAAGGAAAATCTACCCCTCCTCGGGATCATAAATATAAAAAACTGGGTTGTTTATATCATTGATGCACCCATACTTAAAAGTGAAAATATGTCTAGTATAAAAAAAAACCAATTCACATTTAATCACAATGCTGTACAGTATGTTTTTCTTTAATTCTTGATAAATATTTTTGGACATTGTCCTTAAAAATAGTAACAATCAGTGGCGGATTTACCAGCAGGCTGAGTAGGCTGAAGCCTAGGGCGGCAGTTTTTGGGAGCGGCAAATTTGGGATCAAATTTTTTTGTGTTTTACAGAAATTAAAAGATTCATATTTATATACCTAAATGATATTCGGTCCACAAAAAATTTAACATGTAATATGTTTCACCACTTACATAAATATTACTACATTTTGCGTGATCAGGCTTAATTGTGGCCCAGGAACGAGTGACATGACTATTCGCTAAGTGTCTGACCGAAATGCCGAATTGACTACATGAGCGCGGCCCTCCCGAGAGGAAATATAATCTATTTTATTTTAGTTGTTAAAAAAAATAATGATGGGACAAAGCGACAGTGGAGCTGAGTACAAAAAGAAGGCCAAAATGAAAAAAGAACAAGAATAGGTTATCCGTAAAGCGATAAAATCGCTAGCTTTTTTAAAGTGGAAGTAGAAGTAGTGTTGAATGACCAAGAAATTCAATAACATGCACTACCACATTACAATCAGGAAAAGATGAAACAGATTTGCACTCTACGGCTCAACAACAACAGTCATCTGTTGAACAATCTACATTAGACAAAAAGAAGCGGCAGTAGAGGAATCATCAATAAGTATAACAATTGAAGATGCGTCTCAGAATCAGAAGTTAAGTAATAACCGAGTGCAAACAGCAGTAAATCTAAACAAAGATTCAGCTTTATGGAAAATCAACTATACCGTAAGGGAGATTATCGCAAGGTACGGCTGCGATCTAAACAAGTCTTGTGACTTCGTCGTTTCTTGCCAGTAAATATCTTTTAAAGAAAAATGAAAAACGATGTAAACGCCCGAAATTGACTGGTTTATTCTGCAGTGAAAAATCTGTATATTACGCCCTGTTTGGCATTTGGTCCATCGGAGAATAAGACTCAGTTTGAGAACGAATTAAATGACTTGAAAAATGCCTAATATCGAGTAGCTCAGCATGAAAACTCTGCGCGTCATAAATCTAGTATCCTTAGTCTCAAAGTTAGAAGTGAGATTGATGGTCGACACGATAATTTACTGCATGTCCCGATTGATGAAGAAATTACTTTTTGGAGAAATGTTCTGAATAGTTCGTTGTCGTAGTGAAACAACTGTGTTCAAGAGGCCTCACTTTCAGGGGAAAAAATGAAAAGTTCGGTGATTTGGACAATGAAAATTATTGTATAATTTTGGAACTGTTAGCTGAATTCGATCTTTTCCAGTCAGTTTTCTTAGCCAGTCATATTGAACGATTTGGTTGATTCCCAAATCGACTCTGAAAGTACTAATTACTTATCAAAAACCGTTTGCGATAAGTGTATTCTCATGATGGGTCATAAAGTTTTACAACAGATTGCAGACGAGATAAAAAGGGCGAAATATTTTTCCTTATCATCGATTCAACACCAGATATACACATGTGGACCAACTTACATTTTAGAACTTACGTTTTGGAAACAGACGAAACCAGTGAAAGATTTCTCAAGTTTTGCTCTTCAGAGGGGCATAAAGCAGAAGAAATGTTTTCTGCCATTATTTCGGAACTCAAAACACTGGTCATGAAGACTGTCGTGGACAATCATATGATAATGTCGCGAACATGTCTGGTCTGTACAATGGCTTACTACTCGCTAAATTTCAAAGCCAAGCACCTTTTGCTTTCTTCATTCCTTGCTCTGCCCATTATTTAAATTTAGTGGCAACTGTGCCTGCTGAATCTTGCACAGAAGCTTGTCGCTTCTTCATGTTGCTGCAAAAAATCTATGTATTTTTTGTAAGTTCAACACAACACTAGCAAAAATTATTGTCTGAAATAGGGAAAGGCAAAATGCTAAGGAGAATAAATCTGACACGTTGGTCAGCTAAAGACGATGCGGCTAGAAGTTTCAAGAAATTATTGACTTTGGAATCAATCGAGAATGATTGTACCAAAAAGCCTGTAACGCAAAACGAAGCGACGGGAATACTTTTGAATTTATAAAAACTTGAAACATTGGTAATGATGTGTGGATTGTTCTTTTGGAAAGAATAAACAAAGTGAATGTATGTATTCAGGCTTCTACCGTAGGTTTGATTACTCTTCTTGCAGGTTTTTCGTAACTGAACGAGACAATTTAAAGTATTTCGACAATTTCGGAATTAAGCGTACTGCTTCGAAGCAGTATACAAAAGATGGGGGTAAAAGAACAACCGAAAAGGAAAAAAATTATGAAACACCCAATAAAGAAATGAAAATAACTATGAATGATACTTTCAGGGTTAACACATATTATCTCATCCTCATTGATAGACTGGTATCCGAATTTAAAACAAAACAGCAGGAGGCTTACAATAGGTTTAATGAAAAGTTTTAATTTCTGACTAAAATGAGTGGATTGTCATCATTGACCCTTACAGGAAAAGCCTTTTTCTTGAAAGAAATGTATTATAAACAGACTTATTTCAAGAATGCAACCATCCATTCATTTTCAATGCTACCTTTCTTCTGAATGAATTTTGAAAAAACCATATTCTGGATTACTGAAGTCTATATTAGTTCCTGCGACAATTTGCAAAACGTTTATCCAAAATTTATATAATTAATAGCAGTTCACATAGTTCTACCTCTACACCAGATTGTTCGGATAAGGAGGCTTTTCTTGCTTAAATCTGGTGAAAAATTATCTAACATTTACCCAAGAAAAACTAAACGCCTTAGCCCTTTTGTGCATAGAGTCAGAACTAATGAACAAGATTTCATACGACGATATAATTTAATGGACAAAAAATTATTATAATGAATATGATTGTGAACTAGGATATCGAATTGTAGAGGTTGGTAGGGGCGGCAAAATTTCAATAGCTTACTGGCGGCAAATGTGTAAATCCGCCACTGGTAACAATTAATACAATAAATACATCATAAAGCTTGTATGTATCACTTATAAACGTAAGGTTAGTTTGTATATCCCACTAATCTCCTCAGATATGTAGATTCCCCCACAATATTCCACCGAGCATGTGTTAGAGAACATTTCAAATTTTAAATTAACAATTCCATTGACACTACAGGATCCAACCATGAGTTCACATACTGTGATTTATTAAGTGCACTAAGGCATTGAGCAACCTGGCTAATGGTCCTGAGTTATACTATAAATTATAAGTGATAGTAAGCCATGGCCAGCTAAATTTGGGGACATGTCAAATACTCGTACCTTTATCATTATCTAGGCACATTAAGTTAGGCAGTATGGCAGACACAATATTTTCAATTATCATATCAGAATTAGGAGTAGACCTGTACATATATTTATGGACAGCAGTTTTATTTTGATTTGTTTATGCAAGGTTACTTTTTGTGTGTGAAGGAAGTTTTATATTTACAAACCATTACTTCCTTAATTCAATCAGTTTGTTCAAGGTAAAGTTAAGGTCTTTAACTTTGCATATATCATTATTGAAAGTGATTATTTAAAACATTTTATTTTGCAAAAAATTTAAATTACAAACAATATTGTCTCAGTATATGTAGTGTTTTACATTTAGTTGTACTTATTTCTATTAAACATGATAAAGTTTCAAAATATTTTTACAAAATGCAAAAACGTATTACATGTTACGTGAGAAACTTTATCTATAAGTGATATAACTTGGCAAAAATTCTAGCATATATGAAGATTTTGTATTATAATACTTCAAGTTACTTCAAAATCTTCTAGGTGCGCTAATGTTGAAGAGAGATCCTTGGGAAAGATGGAAAATGTACTTGACACATCCCTTTATTAGTATCAAATGGTATTTAAGTTTACTGCAATCAAACTATGGTAAATGGAAAATTTGCAAGTAATAGGTAGTAATGCTTTTATGTTTATCATTCCTATTTAATAAGGGTCATTGATAATGTCAGGAAAATAAGTTAAACTAAATTATTGAAACAGAATTATGAACTAAAATTTGTAATTATACATATTAAATACTTATATAATATTATTTGGTATTAACTAATATTTGTCAATGACCTTGTTTCCGATTGGTTCTATTATAATTAATAATACAATCAAAAACACTAAGGATGTTTCCGTATTACTAATAGGCTTTTTGACCTTCCACACATTGCATGGTGCATGTAATAAAGTGGCGCCTGTTTACAATAATAAAATAATAATTACTTTCTCATTCTTTGTTACAGGTTTTCTGGAACATGTGACTGTTCTAATTGGTATTGCTGTAAATGAGAAGCCAGTAGCTGGAGTCATACACCAACCTTATTATAAAACTCTTATTGGCGGACAAAAAAACATTGGCCGAACCATTTGGGGCTTACAAGAAGTGGGTGTTGGTGGATTCACGCCAGCACCTCCACCTGATTCTTTGGTTATAACCACTACAAGGAGTCATTCTAATCCAATGGTAGAGAAAGCATTGCAAGTTATGAATGCAAATCAAATATTAAGGGTTGGTGGTGCTGGTTACAAGGTAAATATTTGTTTTAAACAGGATTGAGTTTTATTATTTGTTCTTCTATCTTTTTTTACTGCAAAACTAATGGCTTTGTGGTCGGAGTACTTGAATAGTGACATGGAGACGAGGTGGAATCTCAAACTAACAGAATAGGGATTAATAGTATTTGTGCAAAAATAGATGATTTAAAAATGTATTTACCTGTTGCAAATAATTTAACCAAGTCTACCACTAATGATATGGAGCTATTTGGCACAGATGCAATTTCTGTGTAGTATAGCTATGCTGCACATATATTATGATTTGGTTGTCAGTTCGACTGGGGAATGCTTACATTATCGCCAAATATCAGTGTGAAATATCTTAATGCAGCTGTGTTCGTATGGTGAGTGTAGAGAACTGGACTCTTTTTACTGGAAATAAGGCATTCCATCTTAGTCCACAGGGGTGATAATGCATGTGCATTTGCATTTGCTCTTAATTGAGGATAGATGTAGATGTATATGGGCCACAGTGTGCACTTATTATCAGGTGGACTGTGTGCTTGTTTTAGTCACTCTTATTTTATAAAAAAAGAATTTTTTTTTTGAATCTATTATAATGACTTGGGCTAAGCTACTTAGGTTTTGAGTCAAACCAAGACGCAGAGAGCGCCATTGAGAATAGCGACCCGCCAACCAACGATCGCAGAGACGCAATGCTGCACATTGATTACTATATGAACAACAATTCATTTGGCTAGCGAGATAAGTGCCGCCATTCCTGAGGCTCTACAAAACTCATACCTAAATATTTTTACCGGGCAAGAGTAGACCAATGCCTTAAGTACCTTAGCCTAATTAAAAAATATATGTCCTGGACACAGTAATTAACGACTGGTAATGTTATATGTATAACAATATTGCAGCAAATCATGCTATGACGTCAGTTGTTTACCACGTTAAGTACCAATAAATTTAATAACTGATAATAAAATTTTACATATCAGATAGCATATTTATTCTACTATATTATAGATAAAAGGAGATAGAATTACTAGTGTATATTAAGTTGCAATTAAACATGATAATTGCTATATATTTGCATTGTGTAACTCATATTCTAGTAAAGTTTAAATGTAACCAATGACCAGTAAACAGTAACGTTAGAAAATAAGTTTAAAAACATCAACATTAATTTTGTAAAATGATGCCCCTTGTTACAGGTTTTACAATTACTTGAAGGAGTTGCATCAATATATGTATTTGCAAGTGGCGGTTGTAAAAAGTGGGACACTTGTGCACCTGAGGCCGTACTTTCGGCTGCAGGAGGAAAATTAACCGACATTTTCGGTAACTACTACAAGTACGGGCCTTCAGAATCACGCCCGAACAAAACCGGAGTGCTTGCTGCAGTTAATAATGACCTTCATAGTTACGCACTGAGCAGAATACCCGAAGAACTGAAAAATACTCTGTCAAAAAAGTAAATTAATACAATTTTTGTATATATGGATTTTATGGGATATTATATAAATATACAGTAAAGTTTCATTCTTTTTATTTACATAACTAAATAAATAATTCACAGGTATTGTAACAAAAATCTGCTATTCTTACACAAATCTAAGATTCGTGAAATGTGGAATGTTATAAATTAAGGGTATGAAAGTTGTTAAAAATTAATTTGGTTATAGAAATAAAATGATATGTGTCTCACCTAGTTGAAGAACACCTTCCGCCCGCCCTCAATTGCTTGCCCTATTCCCGTAACCACTAATCCCAGCACCAATACTCCCAACACCATTACTCTAGGAAAGACACCACTGTCGATAATACACGAGTTCCGCCACAGGGGAAGTACACTGCAGTCGGTGGCTGACTGTAGAGTGTCAGCCACCAACTGCTAAGTTCATAATAGTTTTGTTTCAGCAGATATAAGCAAATTAATTTTTAACAACTTTAATATAATGAATAGTATGAAAACAAACCCAAGTCCTGTATAACAGCCAACTTATTTGATAAATAAATAGAATATTTTTCAATATTATCAATAACTTCACAATATATAACTACAGCTTGCTCTTAGCAAGTTTATTTGGTAACATAGCTTTCAGTTCTCGGCGCAATATTTTTCCGGAAGCATTCTTTGGTATTTCTTTTAGGAATATAACACCGCCACGTAAATGTTTTGCTGGTGATACCTGTAAATGAGGAAAACATAAAATCAATAAAATATGGTATGATAAACACCACCTTCATTGTTTTTGGCGGAATGGTACCCTAACATAAAAGTTTGTCAAACTCATATCAACCTATCATTACATATACACATTAAGTGTCTTACCTTGCGAGCAATATACTGAATGATATCAGTTTCTGTGACGGTGGAGTTGGGTTGGCGCACGACGAAGGCTGTGGGGAGCTCGCCGGCGGCCTCATCGGGCATACCAACCACACCGCAGTCGGCCACCCCGGGGTGTTGTAACAACAGCGCTTCCAGCTCCGCTGGTGCGACCTACAACAACAGATTATGAGTTATGTAGACAAGGTTGCAGAATAGACATGTGTCATTCATTCATTTCTAGTGTCCCGATCATTCAAGTATTGATTCGTCTTACGAACCGGGTCATTCGGGTCTATCATTCAAATGGATTATTTCGAGTTTTGGTACTCTGTGATCTGTGAGACCCGTTCGATAATGTCGGTCGATAATAAAATTTGATCGCGTTGGTCCTGTCAATCGTTTGATCGGGAACTTTCAAATAATGTAATTGCAATCATCAGTACTTTGTTGCGACCAGAGTCAAATAAACGAATTATTCACCATTGACACATGTCTTATTGCAGAAATAAATACAATCTGAGTATGTGTAAAGCTACGCGCTTACGATTACACACACACACACACACACACACACATCAGCTTAGTTACATGACATGCAAACATGTTAAATAGTGTAGTGCACTTTCTTTTTAACTGTATAGTTAAACTTCTGCTGGTAGGGCTCATATTCTGCCTAAAAGTTTGGGTTGATACAATTATTGCAGACGTTTCTGCCATCAAGCAGCAAGACGCAAACTGCTGTGTTCCAGCGAGCTTCCACCTTAGTCCCCAGAAGAGATCATACATCTGTAACCTTTTGTTTAAAATTGGTTTTAGGTGTTATTGCATACAGCATGCAAGTTAAATTTTTATTATAAAATCTGCTGAATTGAATTGAAAGACATAAGTTTTCATTTTAACAGGTGTTTACTGTTCATTGTGCAATTGCGTGGCGCAATTCGAAACCAATTAAAAAAGGCGCACGACAAAACAATTTCACTGACATAGGTACATATTTGCTGTCTGCAGGCGTACATATGTATTATATTTTTTCTAAAGTAGTAGAATTCCTTGAAATCTTACAATATAGAGATATTAAATTTGAGAGCTAGGTTGTCTTTGGCTGTTTTTCGTTGTAGGACTGCAGGGCCTCGGGTTCGAATCCAGCAAGGAACAAATGTTTGTATGGTCTCCAATTTTGTTGCGGGTCTAGATATTATTCCATATGCAGTTTATGTATTTAAATCACTTCCACAATACAGGGGAAAGTCATAATGTATAATTTAAAAATAACATACCGACTTCCAAATATTGGATACCCATTTTAAAAACAAATATAAAATAGGAAGTAAATAAAGAACTAACAACGTCAAATGTGAAAAGCAAAAAAACAATTAGCCCTTACTAATTTTTGTTACATACAGAAGTTACAAGTTGAAATAATAAATAAACTTGTGTCCGCCATTTTACTCACTTGAAATCCTTTGTATTTAATCAGTTCTTTCAGACGATCAACAATATAAAAATATCCATCTTCGTCGTAATAACCAATATCTCCTGTTCGCACGTAACCCTCAGAGTCGATCAAAGCATTGCTTGCTTCCTGATCATGCATATAGCCTTTCATACGCAAAGGAGATTTAATCCAAAGCTCCCCCTTTTCTCCAATGGATAATAATTTTCCACTATCAATGTCTAATACCTAATGAAATAAAATAATAACGATTGTTATAGTGTTTTCATCTTATAATTATTTTTATTAGTGATATATAGCCCCAATGTCAGTAATGTTTTTCTTAGCGTGTAGTGGCGGTGTAAGAATATCCACTACCCCATATCGTCACGTGGGTGTCGTACGAGGCGACGGAGGGAAATTGAAACAGGTGATGTGCAGCAACATCTTCCTGCAAAAAAACTGCTGCCTTTGACAACCTTCTCGCAAAGCATGTCAACTATGGCAAAACCCCCCGTGAGGCAATCTACAGGGGCGGCCTACGTAAGCAACGGACTTTTATATGCTGTAATGGAATGGTCAGTAATGTTTTTTTATCTCCGTGTTGAAAATGTATGTTACCTTACCATCTAAAATACAGTAAGTAAAAATAAGAAAATTATAATATAAATTGGACATTAGAGAAAATTGTTCCCCAGTCAATATGCAAAATATTTAGAAAAAATATTTTAGAAGAGATGTTTGTTCATTTTAATTTGTCTTCAAAAATGGATCATTTATGACGAATACGGGTGTGAAACCAGCACCATGACATTGTTTTCCTTCTATGATCTGTCGAAAGTATTTGAGTGTATGAATATACAAGTGGTAAAATTAAAGGTTTTCCTATAACCGACTTCAATATAAATTATTAAGGATAACTCAAAAACTACTGGTCAGACCTTGATCAAAAAGCATCAAGAAGCATCAGCTTGCAAATAAAAAAAGAACCATCAAAATCGGTTCTGCTAGGAAAAAAGTTATGAGGTTAACACAAATAAAATATACAGTCGATTTGAGTACCTCCTCCTTTTTTGAAGTCTGTTAAAATTATCATAAACAAACATAAATAATGAATTGATCTCTTATCAACATATCCTTCAAACCAAGAACAAAAGGTTGATATTAACAGTGTAGTGTTATTGTGATGTGTGATAAAAGTGGGTGTCCCACTGGGATTAATTCTTGGCTTTATTTTGTTTGACTAAGAACAAAATAAGTCTACTTAAATTATCTTCCTTGTATGGCACAAAAAATGTCTAAGATAGTTCTGTTTGCTGATGTTTTTTATGTTAACCCATTCACTGCCTTCTTAAGAAATTACAACATTACCCCCATGCCGCCTTATACAGGTATTCAGTCCGCCCATCGGCGGGCCCGGCATCTCGATAAAGTATCTTGGCTCGCCCATCAGCGGTATCGGCATGAGGCCTTCGATTTTGACGTAAGATATTTTTAATGTCTAATTTACATGTCATGTGCGTTGCGTAGATCGTGTTTGCGTATATTTTTGTGTTATTTGTGAAAAAATTGTGCCAGTTTCATTTGCTATTGTTGTCATGCGTAGTCAACCTTTTTGTATGTTAATTTTTTTTTCTCGTCTTACCTCTTTTGCATAAATTCTCTGCTTGATTCCTACCTGTGAACGAATATTACGTTCACAGGTAGGAATTAAGCAGAGGAGATAGTCTCAACTCGATGCACTAAGTCAAACAGCAAACGAACTCCCAAAACACTCAGCAAAACTCAAGTTGTGACAACCACGTACGTCAAGATGCGAGTGAAAGCTTTTTTCCGTAGACTATTTTTTTTCTGTAATATGCTACTTACTTACGTCAAATCATAAATCATGCAAGTTGTAAAATTATTGGTTTCTATAACAAAAGGTATCTGCAACATTTTTGTTTTCAAAGTGACTATTACCGACCGGCCCCTTTTGTTCAGATCACTATCTGCATTCTTATTTCCTATTTACCGACAGTTTATGATCTTATCTCTATTAAACCACAATTCGAAATAGGTCATTAGCCAAAATTAAATCATAAATCATACCGAAAAATTGCATATGGTGACAAAAACAAAGGTGTGGGCACTTTGTCCGTTTTCACAGTGACGAATACCGATCGGTTCCTTTTATGTAGATCATCATCTGCATTCTTATGTTGCTTCCTAGTTACCGACAGTATATTGCCTTATCTAGAAGGTGTTACAAAAAGCGGGTAAAATCCTCTTAGGAAGTGATTCTGTTGCTCAAAAACAATAACTTCTTCCATGGGACCTATATCGAAATCTCAAAAAAAAGTACTTCGCCACACAAACTCGTCTCAGCGGATCGGCGGTTTAGTATGTGGAAGACATTAATTTTTAGATTGGGATGTAGGTTCCATAGAAGAAGTTGTTGTATTTAAGCAATAAAATCAATCCCTGAAAGGATTACCCGCTTTTTTGTAACATCTTGTATATTGTTACGGTTTTATAGTTTTAATGATAAGGTGCAAGGAACAATAAAGTTTATATTTTATTATCACTACATGTAAATATCCTTTATTTTATAGTTTTTGATTAAAATTTTAATAAAAGTTTTGTTAATTCTGAATACGCGTACTGCCCGCCCATGGGCGGGGTCGGCATGACAAGTAAGAATTGTCCTTTTCTAAAAAAATCTTAGATATCCGCAGGCCGTTTTGGTAAAGAATCAATCATAATAAAACGAGTTATTAGACAAAATCTTATAATTTTTTCATGTTATTTGGCATACTTATTAAGGTTTGAAATCTGCCCGTCTATGGGCGGGCTCAGCATGTGAATAAAAAGTGTTTCCCGCCCATGGGCGGGCAAGGCACTGAATGGGTTAAAATAAAATATTTCGCACTGAAATAGCCCAATAAAACACTGGATGTTGTTTCCAAATGATTTGCAGCACACAATTGGCTTTTAAATGCAGAAATAACAATATTTAGTATATGACGGCTTCGTGGCGCAGTGGCTTAGCATTGAGTTGCGGCGCTGGGGGGCCGCGGGTTTGAATCCTGCAAGGAACAAGTATTTGTATGGCCTGCAAATAATTGTTCCGGGTCTGAATGTTTGTCCTTGTGCAATTTATGTTTGTAAACTGCCTCCACGATAGAGGAGTAAATCCTAGTGTCGAGATTACGTTTCTTAAAAAATAAGAGTAAGAGAATTTAGTTTATATTTTCTCATTGTAATAATATAGAATTAATTTATAAGATACTAACATAATATCTTAAAAGATCAACCGTAATTCTCAGAATTTCACGCGAATCGCTACACGACCTTTTTATGAAAACTACATAGTCTAAATATTAGACATTCAAACATTTATATTTCAGATGATATTTGAGAAATTAGTAAGCACTAGCCCCTGGCTACTGATAAATACATTTGATATTTTATTGATTTTATTGTAAGTTGTAATAAATTAAGTTGTAACATGCCATAAAATATATAGAAGACCCCAAAGGTACTGGCCAGTTTTTCTCTGAGATTTAAACAGGCACAAATAAATAAGCTATGCAAGTCATGTAGCTTAGTTTAGCATTGAACTTGATTGACACCATTCTATGCTCCTTTGTTATCAAAATATTTATATTCATATGTTTAAGAGTACCTATTAAATACTTTTTAATGTGTTTCTCATGGAAAAAAGAAATAAACTTAATATATCATAAGGAACATTTTGGCACATTGCCCCATAAATGACTTATTTATCTTAGGTAATATAGATTACCAACTATCAATTTTGTTACTATTAAATTATGATTATTATAGAATATATATATAGTAATTAATGAACATGTGGATTATCTCTATCTTATCTCTCATGTGATAGAGGTTGCTATCCAGCAGTGCTGCCAGTGGGTATTACTGAGGAATATTTGTTTACATAATATTTACAATTTTATTCTTGTATCCTAGTTATAGTACAATTTTGTGGTCATAACAAATTACCTTTATTTTCATACCAGGTGCAGGAGTTCCACAAGATCCTATTTTTGATCCACCTGTTAAATCAACACAACATGCCATAGTGACCTCTGTCAATCCATATCCTTGCTTAATAAAGTCTATTCCAGTTCTGTAAATGTAATAAAAGATATAACTTTGCTTAAAATTAGAAGAAAAACAAAATGTATATATGATTACTACCTCTGTGAAACCATTTTCTGTATTTCACTAGACAGCGGAGCAGCTCCACACCAGATTTCATTTAGAGAACTTAAATCATATTTTGCAACAAGAGGATGTTTAGCGAGAAAAACTGCTAATGGAGGGACTATAGTTGTCATATTCACCTGTAATAAATACTTGTTATATTTAATAAAAATATGGCTTGTATTTATATCATACAAATCTAAATTGCAAAAATACAAAGCACCAAAAACATTCATAAATAGTTGAATTTAACCAATATTTTGCTTAGTTTTACTATTTTGATGTTTATTTTAATTACATGACATTGAATAAATCTATTTTCACGGATTTTATCACGTTTGATTTACTTATTTTTATTTCCTGACATTTTTGTGTTCTTTGCATCACCTATGGTCACAGGGGGTGTGAGGTGACTGATGTCCCGATGTCAAAGCTAACCTGGAGTACCTTCAGCTCCTTTCTCACCATCCATCAAGTGTAATATCCTTTACAATATGTAGGGTTGTACAAGCTTGTATGGGAATGTGGTCTCTCTTATATAGGGCAAACAAAAAGATCAATAAAATCCAGCGTAAAAGAACATATAGCTGATGTGAAACATCCAACACTCCGGGAAGTCTGCTACAGAAATTAAAAGGCATCTTAATTTCAATAAAGGAGGTTGGGTACTACCACCTACTTGGGATCCTGTAATTAATAAAATCAAAACTAAACCCAAGCATCTGCTGTAAGACAGTAAGCTCATTCGGCATAGATCAAATCAATAAACATATTCAATGTATTCTGGGTTAGCTCTGACATCCAGATGTCAAGCACCTCAGTCCCTTGTTTTTTTAATAGGAATAGGGTGACAAACGAGCACACAGTCCACCTGATGGTAAGTGGTTCCTGTGACCCATAGACATCTACATTTATCCTCGTTTGCGAATCAAAATGCAAATGCGTTTGTCACCCGTGAGAACTAAGTTGGAATACCTCTTTTCCAGTAAAAAGGGTCTCCGGTTCTCTACACTCGCCATACGAAACACAGCAGTGTTAAACTGCTATTTTACGTTGGTATTCTGTGAAAGCGTGGTCCTTCCCCGGTCGAGCCGACCCATTCGTGCTACAACTATACTACTAATATAGCTGCAGCGTGGCTCTACCACGTTGAAAGCCTGAAAACACCTATGGTTACCCTTGTGACCATAGGTGATGCAAAGCACCCGAAACATCAGAAATTAAAAACAAGTAAATTAAACACAATAAAATCTGTAAAATATTCAATGTGTAGTGTTAATGTACATATGAAAAAATCATTATGCATGAGACATATGGTCAGTTGGCAGAACTTTGTGAAAGAGAGACTACATGTTTGTGAAGTATCAATTTGGAAATTAGTACACCTTTTGTTTCATGTTTAATATAGAAAATTAGAAAGTATACCTTATACTTTTGTATAGCTTCTAAAAACTGCTGCTCATCAAACCGGACAAGGAATACCACGTTAATATGCATACACATGACTGCCATTGTTGTTATGAACCCATAGGCATGGAACCATGGAATAAGGGACAAGCCAGTTTTTATTTTATGTTTTCTCTTCTCTTGAGACATACTTAAGTAGTACCTCAAATAAAATAATAAATATTATAAATATATGTACTTTAGTTAGTTAGTTAAAGTTAATGATGGGCTGTTTTCTACAACTCCATATCTAAGCGTGTATTTTGCGTTTGCAATATATAGACTTATAAAAGAACTAAAATATAAACTTCAACTTACTTCATATGAGCACTTAATGTGAGGAAATTAACGTGAGTAAGCATTACGCCTTTAGGTAAGCCAGTAGTGCCTGATGAGCACATAACTGCTACAGCATCTTCTGCACCATTTACATCAGCCACCATAAAGTCATCAATACTCATATGATGTTTCTTGACAAGTTCATTATAAAAGAGAGCAGGTACAACATCATATTCCCCAAATAATATTATATTTTTAACACATGGCAAGTCTTTGCTACAATCATATATATTCTGAGCAATAATTGGAGAAGAGAATATAAATTTAGGTTTTATTATCTGTAGAATGTGAGCTAGCTCTCCTGTAAATTAAAATAAATAAGTAGACATGTCTTTTACAAATATATAGTAAGTTATTTTATTTTAGTGCATACCTGGTGAATATGTGACATTAAGTGTTGATAATATTGCTCCACAAAAAATTATAGCCTGTGATGCTATAGTAAATTCAAAGCGGTTCTCACTGCTAAGTGCTACTACATCACCTTTCTTCAAACCAAGTTCTTTAAGAGATGTAGCAAGATTTATACTACTTTGCAAGATGTACTTAAATGTTACATTCTCTCCAGTTTCTGCATTTATCTTTAAAATAAATATTATTATTTATTTATCACCAATTGGGTTGGGTTTAGAATCAAGTCGCCTGAATTTGAGGAGTCTGTCACTGTGGGGGGTCAAGGGGGCTTATCTCAAGCACCCCCATGCAATTTTAGCCGGAGCTGCATCAAAATATTTAATATAATTTTCTAAAAATATTCATAAATCACTAATTAATACCTGAAATGGAACTTTTGACATTGACAGTAATCAGTAACAGATTTACTCGTCCAAAGAGAATATAATCACTATGTTTATACTCAACTTCGCGACTTGCGTCATAAGCATCATTCCATTGCTTCCGAGTTTACGTGAATGTGCTCGTTATTGTTATGATCTGCCTCCTGTTTTTGGACGACTTCGTTACTCCTCTGGAGACCGATTGCTTGCTATTTTACAACGTTTTTGGAAATGGTGGAAGTTATAAAATATGTTTACTTAAATGGGCTACCCTTTTTTTTTTCGTGGGGAAATCCTCGTGGATACTTCCGGCTGCGGGGGCAACCGGATGGTTATGCTGGACTCCTACCGGCTAAAACCACACGGTGTCTTCTCGCACGTGCGCACGGGGCCGCGGGAATCCAAATTCTTCCGGAGCCCCACACTAGTGCTGGCCCGGTCTGTCCGGGCCTCGTCTCCTGCACGGGGTAGCGAGGTGTTCAGCTACCCCCCTCCACAGCCTCCAACTCCACCTGCGCAGCGGACCCCCCGAGTCCGATACGCGGAGGCCAGGAAAATCGAGCGCTTAGTAGCGCCCGCTTTCCCGACCCCAGCGGCAGATCTGGTCTCAGCGGCGCCTCGCAATACCGACACTCCTCACCCCCGGGGCCCCACCACCACCACATCAACGGTGCAGCCCCGTCTGAGTCGCGGAGGATAGGGCGAGTGGCGCATCGCCATACCAGCATTCCTCTTCCTCCGCGACTCCACCTCGGCTGCAGCGGAAGAGGGAGCGGACACCCCTCTCACCGCAGCCCACCAACACACATCCGAAGTGGGCTCGTCAAGCCCACTCGGAGTGGCCACCTCGGGCCGGCCCTACACCTGGGGCCAGCCAAGGGTTCCTCTTTGTTCACCGCGGTTGACCAAGCCACGGCTACTAAGCCCCCAGCCACGACAAGGCGGGAACCCGTTCGGGGGGGGCTACCCTCCCCCAACTCTCTGCCCACACAAATCAGGTTTTTATTGTCAAAAACATTACGGACACATAACCTCAAATTGAGATTTTTAAAATTTTATAAAAAAAAACTAAGCACGTCTGGCAGGAAATGGAAGTGGGGGGTGACTCTACCTCCCCTTCCCCTCCCCCCACCTTTCCCCACCCCCAAATTCAGGCGACATGATTCTAAACCTTACCCCACCAATTATTTTTGCGATATAAAATTAAAAGTTGTCGTAAAACGTTATACTTACCAGAGCAATTCTGTCGCCACCCTGTCTAAACTTATCATATAAGAATTGTCCATACGATAAGTGAGCGGGGATAAGTTCTTCCTCAGGACCATGTACAATTTTATTGTGTACAGTAGCCGGCATTTTTCTTAATACTTTAATAATATTAGTGTTAAGTAGGTATTTATCTTTGATTATTAATACAGTAATATTTTTTGCACCACTGATCAACCGATCAACCAGTCTTTGAGAACAAATTGATTAAAGTTATTCCTTGATTTGGGTTTTGGAGTCGCGTATATCAAATAAAATTATTATCGTTAACAAGTTGTAGCAAAATGCAATTAAATTATTATAATAATAAAATAAATCGCTAATTATTAATAGGCTATAAAAGGTGTTATAAATATAAAAATAACACCTTTTGAGTTTTGAGTTTTTGACAGCTGTCACATTTATTGAACTAGGCATTCCAACAGAAAGATCGGTAGAAGAAGACCTACAATATTCGATTCTTAAGAGATATCGATTACAAATGTTTAGCGTTGGTAATCATTTACAGTCTATATTAATGCCAGAATAAATTAGAAACAGAACTCAAAACACAAATTTTATATTTATTATCTTAAATTTATTTAGAGCCGTGGTAGAGCGATGGCTAGCACTCGCTTTAAATTTCACAATACACGAGGAACCCGGGTTCTGTGCCCGCCGGCACCAATGAAATTGTTAATAGCAATTTTCTGCCGACTTCCAAAAAGGAGCCGGTACTCAATTCGACTGTATGTTTTTTTTTTTTTCGTTTTTTTTTTATGTGTGTTACCTCAGAACTTTTTTCTGGGTGAACCGATTTCGATGATTATTTTTTTATTTGAAAGCTGGTACTTCTCGTGTGGTCCCATATGAATTTGATCAAGGTCAGACCAATAGTTTTTAAGTTATTCTTAAATAACTTATATTGAAGTCGGCTGTACAAAATTTTTAATTTTAAATTATAAGTGATCATGTGCACGGCAGTGAAGGAAAACATCGTGAGGAAATTTGCATGACAGAAATAAGAAAAAAATTATTTCGAAGGCATGTGAAGTTCGCTAACAAGCATTGGGGCACCGCGGCGGACACTTTCTTGCCTTAAAAATTCTCTCAGAAATGAGAGGAGGCCTGTGCCCAGCAGTGGGACGCACATAGGCTTTAACTTTAACTTTTTTAACTTTAACAAAATTTATCTGCTTTTTCATATTTATTGCTTACTGCTAGTTTCTAGATATAAAGTTATATAAACTAGAGACTGCACTAGATTAAAAACAAATTTATGTAATCACTTTTGCTACAATTACAACTAGTTGAGCTGTCGCCGTTATCATCGTTGTTTAAATTAATTATTATTTGATTTTCTATAATGCATTCAAAATTATTGCTTTGTTGCATTCCTTGGGGGAGGCCTATGTTCAGCAGTGGACTAGTCGTCCCGTGTAGTGGCGGGAAAGAATACTCACTACCCTATATCTTCCCGTGTGTGTCGTAAGAAGCGACAGAGGGAAACTGAGGCAGAGGATGGGCAGCAGCATCTTTCTGATAATATCAAAACAATAAAAGACTGCGGTTGCCAACCCGCTCAACAAGCGTGGCAACTATGGCGATATACCCCCATGAGAGTAACGAAGAGACGGCCCCCAGTCTCCGGCGGCCCCGCTATTCCTGGCTACGGTGGCGACCATGGTAATGGCGGGGTAGGGGGCGCTAAGAATCTCCAGTGGAGGTTCGGTTGCCACCTACGACGACCCGACCTGGCAACTTATAACGCGCGCACCCTTAGGACTGACGAGAAAATCCTGGAGCTGGAAGAAGAGATAGACAAGTTGCGCTGGAATATCATAGAATTATCCGAGGTCCGAAGAAAGAGGGAGGACACGGTAATCCTCGAATCCGGCAACTTGTTCTATCACCGGGAGGGCGACCATCTGTCCCAAGGAGGTGCTGGATTTATCGTCCACAAGTCTCTCGTTAACAACGTTGTAAAGATTGGGAGTGTGTCGACGAGGGCTGCGTACCTTATACTCAGAATCACCAAACGGTATTCGATGAAGGTCATACAGGTTTACGCACCAACTTCAGCACACGCCGATGAGGAGGTGGAGGAAATGTATGAGAATATCTCTAGAGCCATGCATTCCTCCAAAACCCACTATACGGTGTTAATGGGAGACTTCAATGCAAAACAAGGCACAAGAGAGAACGGTGAGCTGAAAGTAGGGAAATTCGGAATAGGGCAACGGAACCCAAGGGGCCAGCAGCTGGCCGACTTTATGGAGAAAGAGGGACTCTTTATGATGAACTCTTTCTTCCAGAAGCGGCCCCACAGGAAGTGGACATGGTGGAGCCCCGACGGTTCGACAAAAAATGAGATTGACTTCATATCGACAAAAAATGAGACAACTGTTCAGTAATGTCTCCGTGATCGCGATGGTGAAAACCGGCAGCGATCACCGAATGGTGAGAGAAATACATCACTCACCTTCGATTTGCCGACGATATAGTCCTTATGGCAGAATCGCTGGAGGACCTAAGCACTATGCTCAATGACCTCAATAGTGTTTCCCAACGGATAGGTCTTAAGATGAACATGGACAAAACAAAGATCATGTTTAATGTCCATATCATACCTATGCCGGTAGTTGTTGGGAGCAGTAAGCTCGAAGTTGTTGTACTACTCTATATAAATATTATATTGAGGATTCCATACTGTTGAGCAATATTCTAATATCGAGCGGACCAATGGGTTATACAAAATAATTAGAGTTGAGGGTTTTTTAAAGTCTTTAGTAATTCGTAAGACAAATCCAAGCATCTTATAGGACTTGTTAACTATTTTATCAATATGAGATTTAAATATTAATTTTTGATCCAAATATACACCCAGGTCCCGGAACTCGGTTACTCGACATATCGACTCATTATTTATTTTATAATCAAATTCTATAGGATTGTTTTTCCTGCTGAATGCTATAACATTACATTTTTTAATATTTAAGAACAATATATTATTTGAACAATATGAGTATAATCTATTAATATCTTCTTGTAGTAGCTCAGTCATGTTCGTTTTTAATAATTTAAAAAAATTCTTATCATTAGAAAAAGGAGTATGTTAGAATGTTGGAGTTGCAAAAGAACGTCATTTATATGAATATTGAACAAAAGAGGACCGAGATGTGAGCCCTGGGGGACACCCGAAGATATTGGTAAAAACGAAGAACAGTACCCCTTAACTGCTACCGTTTGAGTACGATTACGCAAGTAAGATGTTAGCCAGCGCAGGTCACCGTGCACACCGATTTGGTCTAGTTTTTGGTAAGGATTTCGTTAGATATTTTATCAAAAGCTTTGGAATAATCGGTGTACACGGCATCCACCTGTAGCCCTGCATTCATTGCAGCATTGTGTTTAGCCATGTTTCATCAATGAATATAACAAGATGTTAACAAATTGTCCCAAATGATTATATTTTAACTTCTCGTAAAAATGTTAGTCTTTGCATTCATGCCTCTAAATAATTATTTTGCTTTCGTCAACTTTTTTTTTGTATCGGAAACCAATTCCTTTTCAAATGGTTCTCAATGACAATAATACTACTACTACCATAATGTACAAGCCGGCATCTTCTAAGCTTACTCTCAACTTCGCCACAGTGGGATTCACAGAAATTATAAAAATAATAGACTTGTTTAGTGCATGATTTATATGATTTATGAAAGTTTTAAAATAAAAATTTAAATAAGCAAATAATACATCAAAATGTAAATGTATACCGATAATTCGCATTAGCATGAATTTGAATCATCCAAACACTACGGTAAGTTGCATAACGATATAATATCATTAAAACAAGGTCAAGCATAAAAGTATACAGTAATCTAAGCAAATAATACATCAAAATGTAAATGTATACCGATAATTCGCATTAGCATGAATTTGAATCATCCAAACACTACGGTAAGTTGCATAACGATATAATATCATTAAAACAAGGTCAAGCATAAAAGTATACAGTAATCTATGCATAAAGGTTTATTCTAGCTAATATTTTTTTATTTTGCTTTGTTTCAAAGATTCAAATTTAAATTAGCGATAAAAAACTATACCTACATGATGTAATGAAATATAGATAACTTCATAATTCATTGGATTTACGTAAAAGGTTATTTTAAATCGTGCGAGTATTCCCTTGCACAAAGTTATTGCGGAATGATTAATGTGAAACGTCAAAAGGTATTTCATTTACAAAAGGTATTTCGGTTGAGTATAGGCATCTCGATCTGAAATCGATTAAATGAAAAATTGGTTATTTAGAGCAAAACAATCAGCACGACTATGGTTCTTAAAGCGCCACGATTTGAAGGTGTATTCGCATTGGAGGTGGGCAAAGTGTATAATTTTTGCGATTGGAATATTTGCATCTTGGTCACTGAAATGTTCCGAAACACTGATATGTTTCATTTGGCTCATTTGGATCATCGACTCAAAAGATATAAAAGAAAGAATGTTCCGAATACATTAAGTTGTGTTGCGGGCGTTTATTACTGATTGATCCGTGAAATGTTATGTGGCAACAATGCTGAATAATATAAGTGCTTAGATTATTTATTGTGTACCGTAATAAGATTGTATATAAAATCGATTCTCCTTCATACTTTAACAAAAATGTCACTATTTCAATTCATTATTTACAAAAATGTTCATTTACACAAAACAGCAATGTCTATGTACACAGATTTTACTCGTAAAGTATCATAACTCTAAACTTTATGATGAAAAGGAATAAAGTAAAGTCACAATAATCACTACGCAAAGAAATCCTAAACATAACTCAGTATGTTTTCGTAAACAGGCGCTAATGAATATAAACAATTTGACAAGTGCCGCATCAACGTAAAATGACAACTTGTTAGTGCAAACATTACATACAAAAAACGACCGTATAGTATTTGATACGTAAGCGCCTTAGTGATAATTTTTACGTACATGAATAACGACTGAGAAAATTGTACGTCCGTTGTTATCTCTATCTGACTTGTGTGGATTATAATTATTTCGCCCGCTCACTCGCCACTCGTGAGTCAATAGTTAAGTTAATCATTGTCTCA